GAATTACAACAAACTAATTTATGAACTCTTAATTCTGATATGAAATCTCAGTTAGGAGAAATAACATCAAAATGTGTATATTATGTTGAAATTATGAAATGTAAAGGCACAATTACAAGATACTATAAGACCTGTTGTTTATTTACATCTTGGCAAAAAGTGTGTGGGATGACAGGAATGTGGGAAATGCCCTTATGGTAGACAAATATAAATACATGATCATATATAAGAAAATATATATATGAGAAAAACTCATAATAGGCCCGAAAAACAGATAATATTTATAATGTGTAAATACATACAAGTAGAAAAAGGATTCAGGAAATTTTACATCTTGGTGCCAGTGTATAAATCAAAATACAGTCTAACCGATTAAATGAGGTTTGTTAAATGAAATATTGTGCAGCCAGACTCATTTAAAACCAACTTTACCACAAACATCTCATTTGTGAGGCTGCAAAATACAATAGAGTACACAAACAGTGTCATTTTGCAACAAATATACAATTTTACAACAAGCTGACATTTTTTGCACTGATATTCTAACAGTAGAAAATGAAATACTGAGGGGGTTAATCATTTTGCAGAAGGATGATTCAGTCTTTCCTTTTGCTTTTTTTTTTCCAAAGCGAAGTTCAAAGCAATTTGCTCAAAGAAACTTTGTCTGTATGACAACATTTCTCCACTCTTACAGGCAAAAGTGAAATTAAGAAACCAGTCAAAACTGTTCTTCAGTTTTGTTATTCTGGCATTTTATTTTTATGAATTAGGTATATAGGAAAGTGCCTGTGCACATTAATTTTACATGAAGTTTCCTCAGACCACTAGGGATTGAAAAGAAAACAAGCATAATTCACTGTTCTGATCCAGAACAGTAAAAAAAAGAAGTGCATATACTATGGTAGCCTATAATTGATCTTGAGAACAGACGCTGCCTTTTTTTTGATAACGTGGGTGACTATGGTGATTTGTGGATTCTGCAAAAACTACAGACAAAGTAAATAATGTAATATAAGTATATATTGGCAAATTTCAGATTTTAAAAGTTACAACTTAAAAACGGTGTATTAAGCAGTTTTAAGATGTTATTGATGTTTTGTCTCCTCTACACCGCAGGTAATCTACCACCAGTTCAACACGTGGCATTGAACAGCAGTGTTACCATACCCTGCCCCGTACTCAGTGCACCAGAAATGGTTTTCAAATTATATAAAGGCTCAGAAGAGATCTTTTATATCACCATTAATAATGCATCCATCAGCAAAAATAACAACAGCCCAAAAAGAGATTTCCCTGCCAGTTTCAAAGTTAATAATACGAATAACAGTTTTATCCTGAACAGTGTAACGATGAATACTACAGCCCTTTACACTTGTGAGGCCGAGAGAATCTTTCCTCCTCCATTTCAGAAAGTGGAGCACAAACCACAAACTATTGTGTTTGTTGAAGGTATGTTCACTATAGTTGTTATGGAACATTGTCATTGTCAACAGCATTAAACAATTGGCAATATAATTAGCAATTTGTAATTCAAAGATTTTATTATTTGTGCTCTGGTTAATGTACAGTTAAAAGTCACATTTTGCGTCACTCCTTTTCTCTCTCTGTGTGTGTGTGGTTCAGGTATTCCCCGCTTTGTGGGGACAAATTGTCAAAATTTTAAAAAGTGTAGTAATACCCAAATTAGAATATATTATGTATAGAATATATAGAATGTTAGGGGATGGAATATAGCCTATAGTTACAATATAAAAATTATTATGTCTGTGGAAAGTCCCCATAAAACATGGAAACCCAATGTGTGTGTGTGTGTGGCTGAGGTATGCCCTATGTTATGGAGACAAATTGTCCCCACAAAGATGGCAGTATCCAAAATCCTTGTCCTTGTGGAGACATTTTTTGGTTCCCCTGAGGAAACAAGCTTATATAACATAGAGAATAAAGTTTTGAAAACAACATAGAAATCCAACATTTGTGTGTTTCAACAGGGAGACCAGTTAAACCGAGTGCCGTCTGTCAACATGCTGATCACCTGGCTTTTTGGGTGGTGCTAGGAGTCATGACCATATATGGGCTGGTAATGACTTGCACCGTTTTCATTCTGCGGGTAAATATTATTTACATATATATAAAAAATTAAGATATAAATATATAAAACGTATATTTAACATCTAGAAAAAGGGCCATTCAACATAGTATATTTCTGTAATTTAAATCAGTGTATTACAGAGTATTAGAAAAGTTATCCATTTGATTGACGTCTCATAAAAAATCATGAAGATATAAGACTGTAGCTAATATCATATTTAAATACGCCAATTAGTAATCCTGGCCTCTCATTACAATCTTGGAGTGTCTATTTACACTAAGTGCAAATAGCCCGCCTTGTTGGCAGAGGCTATTTACACTAGCTCCACCTACTATAAAACACGAGTGTCATTCGTCAGGTTCAGTGGCGTAGTTGATAAAGCGCGTTTCAAAATATCTTTTCCGCGATCGACCCGGGTTCGAATCCGCCTTTTTCTTTCATAACAACAGTTTTGTTTCAATTCCACATTTTCTTCACACATTTTTTCCACATTTTTTCAACGAACTAAACTATTTACATTTTTCAATGAACTAAACTAACTAGCTAGATTACTAACTAAATGAGACTACTGTATAATTATTAAAACCACAAACATATATGCATGCCTTCTTCCATGAATAGTTTTTACATCCATCACCTTGCTCTAAAATAAGGATAAAAATTCATTTTTTTTTAGGAACATTTGTCATGAAGCACCTTTTTTATGTTTAAGTAAGTTTTCTGTGGACTAAAACTGATTTGGAATGAAAGAATATTTCTTTCTCGCCTGTTTCTCTCGTAATCTAAATATCTGAAACCAAGTTCTCCTTCTTGGCTCACCCCTAATGTTCTCCTTTTTTGTGAAGTGTGTTTTATGTATGAGAGTAAAAAAAAGTGCAACAAATAACCCGCCTGTTGGCAGAGGCTATTTACACTAACTCCACCCACAAATGTGTGATTATGGATGGTCAAGAATATAAAACAAGACAATCACTAATCAGTTTCAGTGGCGTGGATGGTAAGGAGAGTCCCGTGGTCTTTTTCACGCGATCGACCCAGGTTCGAATCCGCCTTTTACCGAACTTTTTTTCTCCCTTTTCAAATCTCATATCACATCGGAAAGGCATTTTCAATAAAAATGAAGGAAATAATCAAAATGTTGAAAATAAAGTATCGGGTAGGGTTAGGCTAGGTGTAGGGAGGTCTTTATAAATGAAGGAAATAATCAAAAAGTTGAATATAAAGAATCGGGTAGGGTTAGGATAGGTGTAGGGAGGGCTTTATTGTCCCAATAAGGTGGCATCCATTTAATAATTTGAATTACAATTATAATTTACACTCAATACGTTATTACCGCATACTGTTTTATAATGTACTATAATGCTGAGGTGCAGATAATTGCCACTATTTACAATAAGTAGTACAAATAGGAGAAAATCCTGCTATTTTAACATCTATCGCTATCTGCACTTAGTGTTAATAGCATATTGTTAAAAATACTGCTATTTTCACTTAGTGTAAATAGAATCCATTGCTATTTGCACTTAGTATAAATAGCATCTGTCGCTAAGAAAATATGCTATTTGCACTTAGTGTAAATAGCCTCTATCACTATTTACACTTAGTGCAAATAGCCACTGCCTTTATTTAATGGTTAGCAATGTTGTGTCATTATTATATTATATTATATTATATTATATTATATTATTTATTTTTAATAATAGCATATAGTGATTATAGTGATTACACTTTTTGATAGTATCATTTACCAACAAATATTTATTTATTTATGGATTGATTTAAACGTTCAGATCTTTGAATGTTGACTAATTAATACGTTGCCCTTGGATGATCATTGTATTTTTGATGTCTTTCCCATTCACATCCCATCCTTTGCACACCAGATCAAGTTGAGTCAAACTGAAACTCCCTTCAAGGACAGAGAATGCAGACGGAAGTGGCAGGGGGTTCAACATCCAACCTGGCAGGGCTTTTACATAGACACTGTAGTATGAGACTATCTGACAACATTTAACAAACCCTGCCAAGAACAACCACTAAAACATCACATCAGACAATGCTGTTTTAAAGGGGCACACTGCATTCTGAGAAAAATGAAACTACATTTGAATTTTTTTTCACAGCTTTATGTATTATATTTTCATTTAACCCACTATTAAATGTAGCCAAAATGTTGTTAGCTTTGCTAGCATATGTGTGTGTGTTCTCTCTCTTTGTCCTTGTTTTATTGTTAAATTTATTTGGAAATAAACAAAACAACAAACTTTTCCCTTTTTGATACTGTATGCACATTTGCCTGTCTAAAAGGAGGCCTACTATAGACTTAGTTTGTTAAATAAAGCAAATTATGTTAACACAAACCTGCACAGTAAATTTACTACATCCAGTTCAACATTCTCAGGTAGTCAACCACTTTTCTTTTTAAACACATCCCCAAAAGGAAGTTTTGCTGTTTTCAGCTATTTTTTCCCCCAAGGTCTCTCCCTCCCTCCCTCCCTCTCTCTCTCTCTCTCTCTCTCTCTCTCTCTCACACACGCACACACACACGCACACACACTGGAAAATGACAATGTGAGTAAGAAATGTTCATCTCATGAAAGCTCTGCGGTTAAGAGTCCTGAACCTCGTACTGGTATGTCTGAAGCAGCTTTTGGTCTCTTTTTCTGTCTTTCCTCTACCTTCTCACTCTTTTGATGATCAACAAGCAATAACACAGAACATCCACTAGAGGGAGACGCAGGACTTACATTCCATTAACCAAGAGCCGCTAGAGTCTGAAGGGCACTGTTATTTTGAGTGTGTTACTCTGCAATTCTCCCTCCCTTTCTATAATCACCCCACCCTGTGTGCTAACTCTCTTAAAGAACTGTCTACCCACGCTGCGCGCTCATCAGAGCTACAGCGCGCTTTCCAGTGCCCACAGTTTCACGCGCACAGGCATTCTTTCACAGACGCGCGCGCAGATGCGGGCAATGGGTGCGCAGAATATTTTAGCGCGTATTAATATATAACCTTTAAATGCGTATAAGCCTTTCTTAAAATATACTCTAAGTGCAATATCGTGAATAAATAGTTTTAAATTGGGTTAGAAACCTATATTCATACCAATTCTCGCGGGGCAATGGATTTATAGAAAATGAATGAAACGCAGATCCCGTTTTGGGAATGTTCAAGAACTCCAGACAATTCCAGCGTGAACAGCTCAGCGTTGGAAGTTAACGCCACCTGTAGCAATGCGTCAATAATTCAGAAATTCAAACCTACGCGACCAAAAGGTAAGAACAAACAATCCATGTTAACGTTATGTTGTCTTGTTTCCCTGTTGCACTTTTTATCCCCACAGATAAATTAATAAATAAATCAGCATGATAAACAGCATGAAACATGATACGTTCAACCTCTGCTGATGATACAAAACTTTTTTTCCCAGTACAAATGATTCATTATTTATATACTTTAGCTATAACAGCGTGCCTGAACATTATTTATGAAATCATACATTCCCAAAGCAATAACTGCTCCGCATCAACCACTACCGAACATAGACGCATTAAAGATAAACTTCAGCAGCTTGTCTTTCAGTATGTGCGTTTATTGATTTAAAACACTCTTTAAAATGTGTGGTTATTTTTCTTTTAATAGTACAGCAGTGTATTTAATTCATGTTTATAAGTCAATATTTAAGAAATAAGTCAATATTTTCTTTTTTGTATTATTTCAAGAACTATGTCAGAGGTAATGGTAAGTGTAATTAAACCCCAAGGATGCTCTTTGCATTTTTCAGCTCTCATCAGCATCATTATACTCTTTGAACATGCAAACAGTGTTTACTTCATTAGGACATGAACAAAAAAATCCTGGATAAATGTGGTCACTATTTGATAGGCATTCAAAACCACAACCTCTTGAATGATTCGTGGGCAAATGAATGATTATCCTATTTTTTAAATAATAATTTTTGTTATAAATCTATGCATTCATGCAAGGTTGAGAATCAGACTGACACAAGTCAGGGGGAGTGTTTGGTAGCAGATTCAACTGCCTGTAAGGTCCTTCAGGCTGCAAAATTGTTGGGCCAACAATTTCAGCAGTTCATTTCAAACATCTGTAATTTGAGATATCCAACTTGACATTGATGAACCGAATAAAACCTCCCAGCTGGGAACAAAAAAATAATTCCATTTGATTTCATTTTTATGCACAAACACCCTAGCAGTGTCTTACCTAATTACGAAACTGCTACAGCATTTCTTTTTCTGTTTTAGGTATTCACAAAGTTTATAGATCCACACATTGGTGACTCACTCAATCAGGTGGTTCCACTCTTTGAAAAAGGTGGCGAGATTATCTAGTTTTAGCTTGAGAGTGTTCTGATGTGTTCACTTACAGTATAAATGATGAAAGAAGCTGGCATACACTTGGCAAGACTGTGATTTGTGCATGAGAATAAATGTAGAGCAGGAGAAGGTGAAATGATACAGTAGATTTTCAACAGATTCATAGATTACCAGTTCTTAAAGCATTCATCTACATAAATGTGAATTATTTTGAATTGGCAACACATATAAATACATATTACACCATCGATATTCTACCAAATGTTGTGCCAACTAACCCAATAGGGTTGAATGTACATTAGTTTGTTCCAGTTCTACAATTGCAATGTTTGATTATATATACGTGT